TATGGCATGAAATATCCCTTTGGGTTAGGTGTCCTGCCTGTCTTCCCTCCTAGCTTCTTGCAGAGAAACTGAAAAAAGTTCTTGATATAAACTTTGCATAGCAACAACTACGAACAATAGTGTGTTATCAATACTGTTTTCAGCACAGACAAAACATAGCCTCATACTAGTTACTGTGAGAAAAACTAACTCTGTCCCAATTAAAACCAGCACAGCGTCTAAGGCCAGTTACTGGAGGGATCCATGGTGTGTGTGTCCGTGCATGTATCTGTACGTAATCAGTGGGCTTCTGTGGAGTGAAGCAGCACTACAGCAACTGGCTGTGTGTCCTGGGGGCTCACATGTCCAAGTGCCAGCAAGCCAGGAGAACAAGAATTCACGGCCAGCTGCTGCGTAGACTGCATGCCTAAGGCCAGTTCGTAGAGGATCCATAGTGTGCCTGTGTGAGTGTGTCTTAATACTGGGAACAAGTGGGGCTGCAAGCGTCAGGTGCCAGCAAACGGGGAGACCACAGAGGCAGAGGTCAGCTACTGGAGACTGAGTGTTTAAGAACAGTTAATCAGGGATCCACATTATATATAAATGCATATATATTTCCCACTAACAGACCTTCATCCTGGCCAGTCAGAAAGGGGAGCAGATGAGGCCGTTGGTGGTGCTGTTTCTGTTTGCATGACTGGTGAGTGTTTCAGTCTGTGCTGATCTTCATGGCTGGCCATGTGCATACGTGCAGTGCCTCCATGCGTTGGTGTGTGCGCCTGTTGGGAATACCCACTCAACTTTGCTGGTGGTTGGACCTGGGCATGTGGAGCTGTAGCAGCCTTGCTTATGTGAGGTTGCTGGGTTTGGCAACCCCTAACAATATTTTTCCACAAGCCCAGAGAATACTTTCTAGCCTTCTTAGAGAGTATTTACGGTCTTCCTAGTTATTCATGTTCAAGGCGTGATCATACAAGGCAGAATAAGCCCAGTAATATTTCAGTTCTTTTCAAGAATTCTGTTAAGCCAGATGACTCTGCTGCTTGGGGCATTCATCTGCATGGCAAAGCAAACTCTCTAAACCTTACTTTTCACCCTAGTGCCCTTTGACTTATCTACCAATGTATGTGTGCATTTGGATATATTCAGAGGTCAGGGCCTTGAGCGACTGCTGTAATTTAGCCTAGCCTTGAGAGGGGTGTTGGTCAAGATGACCTCTATACCTCCCTTCCACGTTGTTTCATTCTGTGATTCTATGGTCTGGTCATTCTTAGCATAAGCTTCTGATGTAAAGGGATTCTTTCACTGTCTTCTCAGGACTAACTTTCTTCCCGGGGGCTATAGTTTGCCTAGACTTGGCTTGTATAATTCCCTCTTGCACCGTTCTGCTGTGAAGACACTGAGGACAGTTGTTCTTCAATCCAGAAATCTGTTAGGCCATCTCTCCAATCTAAAAAGCTCTTAGGCCATCTCTTTACGAAGGTTGTCGAAGGGTCAATCATCCTTGGATGAACTGTCATCTTCTTGCATCAGGGGAGCATTTTGCCTGCAACACAAGCACTAAAGTGTCTTGCTTGGAAGTACAGGCTAACCAAAGTTTGAAAATCATTAACATGCCTGTTCTGAACTGCTTGATCTGTAGTAGCAACTTCCAACTCTGCCGAGTTGATCTTGATGTTGACATAGTATTGTGCAGCCCAAGAGATTGGTTTCTGGTGTGAGTATAGGCTGGTACTAGCATAAGTCTTTGGGATTTTTTTTTGACCCTTTCTGGCCTGTAGGAACAGAGGACACTGAAATGAGAGTGTAATTAAATCTGAATTATGTTTTACGAAGAATGTAATGAATCAATTTGACTCTGCTATAAAAGATGATGGGAATTTTAGTTTAGGGAAGCAATACAGGAGAATCTCTCATCAGCTATTTTTCTTTTCTTTGAACTAAAATAACAGTCTTAATGAGAAATTGGAAATTCATTCCTCAAAAATGTAAGATTAAAGCAGGAATCAGAGAAGAATTGCCATAATTTCATGTGCTTCAAAGCCTCCGGAAACCTTGATTATTCTTCATTTTTAATCCAGAGTGGATTATTGTTCTGTTGATACTCTGAGGTCACCTCAGTAAGTGTTGTCTCTAGCAGCATCATGGACTGGCCTGGGCCTGGGTCTGATCTGATCTTGCAAGACCCTTGATTTTGAGCGAGATAGAAAGGGTATAAGCCATTTTTCTTCCAGGTTGGTAAATTCAGCTGAACACATCATTGCTATCTGCACTGAAGAGCAGCAGAATACTGGTCTGGCCCTGCACACTGAGGATGTGGAATGCTACGTCTGTACTAATAAAGTGACAAAGTGGAGGCTTATACCTGTACACTGGTATGTAGTCATTCATACCATAGTACTGTTCACACCGTCATAGGTTTGGCCCATGCCAACTAACCTTCTCCTAAACAGTGCCCAGGCATAGTTCAGAGGTTAGGATGGACCAAGGACCATTCCTGAGAGATGGTTTGGATGCAGCCATGCACTTAGGTGGTGTTGGAGTTTTTAACTATGTAAATGTGAACCATTCTGTGCCTGTTGTCCTCAGAATTAGACAGCAGTCTAACAGCTTGTTAGATTTATGAGTGTATATGCAGCTGGTGTGACTGGGGATCTGATTCAAGGCATACAGCCAGTAGGAGAGGGAGAAAAGGAAGAAAAATTGTAAAAGACTTTTGACTGTAGGTCACCAAATGACATCTATGCACACAACATTCTTGTGTACTTTTCTTGTTTTTCTAATGCTTCCTGACTTAAAATATTCACCATGAGAGGGACAGTTCTGTCTGCTTCAGGCTGCCAGTATTTGTTCACCTGTGAAATATTTATGTGCTTGATGAAGATTACCTTGCTCACTGGTGAGAAGCTGCCTGGAGAATACAGCAGAGCCCAGGATGCTGAGCAAATCTTCTCTATTTTAGCTCTTCTCCTTTCCTTTCTCACTTTTTATCTGGCTTTCCACGTTTTGATTAATTTTTCTCTAATAATTTTCTCCTAGAGTTTCCATGGGGTAGTTGTATTATACATTGGTAAATGGGAGACTCAGACCTGATTAGAAAAAAAAGTTCTTTCTTTGTTGAAAAATGATCTTGTATGTTATTCCAACCTATCAAAGCCACGTTTGGGAACCCAATGGCAAATTACTGACCAGTGCAACTTCTGCGCCAGACTGTGGAATTCAGACAGTAATGTGCATGGAGGAATGCTGAGTCCCTCCGCAGGTAGGACAGCCTAGGGGAAGACAACGCCTCCTCCAGGAGGCAGAGGCCTTTCACAGATATTTTGCTGCTCAGAGGAGTCATCTGAGCTGGGCTATCCTCAAGTAGTGCTCAGCATTTCCCAAAGTCTGTTAGGTAATTGTATGGCATTGTGCTTTAGCTGTAACCAGTAGCTTTCTCCAGTTCTGACAAGTCAGTCCAGATATTTTTTGCACTGCTTTTGAAGCAAGGAACTGCATCAGCTCCTCAGGAGGGTCTAAGAAACATATGAGCTCCTGTAGGAATACAGGAACATCAGCTGGGGGACATCGATGAAACCTGGGCAAACTTGGTCACTTCATCATGTCTGCTTTAGGATGAGTCTAGTCTTTCTGCTGATTAATGTGGAGTGAATCCCCAGGAGCACTGATAGGGACAGTGAAGTCAGCAGTACATAATTTGGAAACAGAAACTATTGAAGATCTCTCCTGGTTGTCTCATGGGATAATAATATCATTAAACCTTTGCAAGACGAACAATGAATCCTGTTTGTAAATAATCTGGATGTTGCTGTTGGGGTTTGGTTTGGGGCGTTTTCTTTTTTTTTTTTTTAAACAAAGCAACCAGATAGAAAAATGAAAATTAAACTAAGATAACAGAAGAGATTGACTTTCCAGAATTTAAGATATAGTAGTCGATTTGTAAGTATGTACCAACACATGTAAATACCTATTTGACAGAGGTTCTTTTCTTCCCTGATGTCCTCACTGTAAATGTACACAGAAAAACGCACATGCTTGAATACCAGTAACTTCCAGGGTGGTCTCAGACCGTGACACTCACTTCTGGACAATACTGTGTGTATAGCTGGCACTGTCACAGTCTCTTCTGTATTTCTTTGTACCTGAAGAGAGAATAACATCTCCAAGAGCAGTCAAGTCTAGTACCTATCTCCAGTGGTAGGTTCAGTAACAATGGAAATGCAGACTAGTTGTGAGAATAAGCCAGGCCTGTGAAGTTCTGCATGTACCCTACTCCTGAGCAGTATAATGCAGGAGACTATTTAATACTGATTTTCTCATAAAACCGGGGCTTGTACACAGGCTTGCAGCCTAACACCCAGCTGCAGAACAAAGTGAGTCCATTACAGGATCAACTGGGTCATCATCCTGAACTCCCACAGAAATTTGGTTCCAGAGCTGGAACACATTTACACCTGCAAATAAAGCGGACAACCATGGTCCTGAGGAGGCTGGCATGCATTCATGTAACTCATCTCTGTCCCAACCTTTCCTTTCCAGAAAGTGTGGTCTCATCTGTCGCGTTCATTATGATAACTCTGCTCCATGCTGTCAGTGTGCTTACACTTTGCCTGAGAAAGTTCTTGTCTGGCCAGAATATTGCCAAGCAACTTGCTAACCATGAGTTAATATGATTATGTGCCAAGTGCCTCTGCCCCTGTCTTGGTCCTGCTTAATTTACTAGTATGGATGTAGCCTTGTCATATTTAACCTCCAAACATGAATGTTTATGCTGGGTGTGTGAAAGTCATCTACAAAACTTGTTGGGGGGGGAAAGGGGAGGGGGGAGGGGCAGGGTTCAGAGACAATCTTGTAAGGGACACATAAGTTTTTAGCCTGACTTAGAAAAGCACAAAATACTTATTTTTTATTTTTAAATATAAATAGAAATACTTCTGGATACAACTGGAGAGACCTCAGAGATTGGCTGGACCACCCACCCTTCTGATGGGGTAAGCATTTTCCCTTGTCCTCCTCTTGATTGCATCTCTGCTGGGAAGGTGTGCATGCAGCTGATGAAGAAAAGGAAATGAACCAATGAGGCTTGTTTTACATTTTTTGTCCTAACGAACAATTTGACACAGTATGTTGTGCAAAGCAAGATTGTTAGGAGGACAGTTGGTGGAATAGTACTGCCATCTCCTTACCCTCTTCCTTCCACCCTCTTTCAGAAATACTCATGAGGTCTCCCTCCACACAGACTAACTACTATAGAATAGAATGGAATAGAATAGTTCTATTTGGAAGGGGCCTGCAATGATCATCTACCTCAACTGCCTGATCACTTCAGGGCTGACCAAAGTTAAAGCATGTTATTAAGGGCATTGTCCAAATGCCTGTCAAACACTGACAGGCATGGAGCATTGATCACCTCTCCAGGAAGCCTGTTCCAGTGTCTGACCACCGTCTTGGTAAAGAAATGTTTCCTAACATCAATTCCAAACCTCCCCTGAGGCAGCTTTGAACCATTCCTACACGTCCTATGACTGGATGTGAGGGAGAAGAGAACAGCACCTCACTCTCCACTG